CTCAGCAAACTAGAAAGCAGCTGATAAGCATCCTTGCAGGGGCGTCCCTAGGGTTGGTGTCACCCGGTGCGATAACACTTGGTGACCCCCCTCCAACGATCCCCGTAGAATGGATCGGATCTGCGGATTGAGCATAATGGATCGGAGTCCGATCCATTATGCTCCCCAATCCGCAGATCCGATCTATCCTGCGGCAATCGTCGGCTTGCTTTACAACTTACTTTTTCGTGAAGCGGGTCCGGTGTCACCCCGTATAGGTTGCATGCTGACGATCCCCGTAGGATGGTTTGGATCTGCAGATTGAGCGTAATGGATCAGAGTCTGATCTATTATGCTCCCCAATCCGCAGATCCGATCCATCCTGCGGGAATTGTCAGCTTGCTTTACAACTTACCTTTTCGTGGATCGGGTCCGGTGTCACCCCGTGCGGTAGGTGTCACTCGGTGTGGCGCGCACCCCCCGCTCCTGTCTCGGGACGCCACTGCATCCTTGTAGTCCATTGACACTTCCTCCAATTTTAATAACAGAAAGCCTTTTCAGAGGTACAGGCAGAAAGCTGGAGTAAATGATGCAGCCTCTTTGCACCTCAGTGAGGGTCCAACTGTCTGCAGAAGCCTGACATTGCACCTGTGATCCACTGATCGTAGGTGCAATGATTTTCAGGCTACAAGGGAAAAAATAGTAAGTGCACATTTTTCCTGCATAAATATGTGCATTTATAATTTTTTCCCTAAAGGTGAACTTATCCGTTAAAACAATATAAATGCAAACCCAAAAATGTAATATATTGCAGTTTACCAATCATTAGGTGTGTTGGCTGCATTTGTTTCCATTTAAGGCTTTTTCCTACTGTTTTCACCTGGTGATCTGGCCAGCAACACACCTCCTGTATTAGAGTGCCCCCAGTCTGAACGACGTAGCTCAGGGGGCACTTTTGGAAAGCAGCATTGTCAACCTGGGGAAGGGGGGGAAGAGTGTTTGATGTACTAGAAGATTTAGATACGCTAACAAATTGAAGACAAACTCCAGCTTATTCTTTGTAAGCAATTACGGCAACAGATTTATTTCCTTTTGAGATAAAGGTTTCACATAAATAAAAAAAAAATCAGATCATTGTAAGCACCACTGTTTGTAGTTAATGGTTTGTTTTATCTCTTCAATGGTTACATCTGCAGGGCAGCTTGTTCTTTTCAAAAACAACAGACTTACTGACAGGATCACCAGATAAAAAAAGAAAAGAAAAAGAAAGCCCAAAGAAGAAAAGTAATGCAGCTACCACATCTATGTAATATATTGCAGATTACCAATCAATAGATGTGGTGGCTGCATTCATTTTCTTTCTTAAGTCTCTCCCCCCCCCCTCTTCTTCTGTTTTTACCTGGTGATTTGACCAGTAACATATCTCCTGTAAGAGAGTGCCTCCACTCCGGATAAAGGAGCAACAGAGAGACACCTTTCAATAGCAGCATTGTCAGTCTAGGGGGGGGGGGTGAGTGTTACATGTACTAGCAGATTTAGATACACTAACAAATTGAAGCCAACCTCCGGCTAATACTTGATGAGCTCTTACAGCAATAGATTGTTTTCCTTTTGGGATACAGGTTCTACATATATAAATAAAAGCAGATCATTGTAAGCACCCCTGTCAGTGGTTAATGGTTTGTCTCATCTATTTAACTGCTACATCTGCAGTACAGCTTGCTCTGTTGAAACATGTCAGACTTACTGGCTGAATCACCAGGTGAAATTAAACGAAACAAAGTCTAGAAAGAAAACGAATACAGCCACCACATCTAAAAATTGATAAGCTGCAATATGATAAATGTTTGCTGTTGTCTTTCAGGGCCAGGTCACACCGCAAAACTGCACTCCATATCCATTGTGGATATGTTTCTGCTTGAGTGTTTTTTACATGTTTTTGATGCATTTCCAGATGTATTCCAGAACATTTTTTTGTTCTTTTTTTCCCTGGTTTTATTTCCACTGTACAGGGGTCTGGTGCATTTTTTATGAGTTTTTGATGCATTTCGGGCTTTTTTTATGCGTTCCAGTCCAGTCCAGTCCAGTCCAGTGCAGGACAGAGCATGCTCTGTTTTTGTTTCTGGAACTGGAACGCCCTGGAATTGACTGCACTGGTGTGAACTATGCCATCGGAAACAGTATAACCTACTTTCCATGAGTTTTTGATGCAGAACAAAAATGCAATGGACTGCATGCAGTGTGAACTGGTCCTAATACCACTTTAATTTACTTCAATGTTTCATGGTTTACATAAATAAATAAAAGTTGATCATTGTAAGCACCCTTGACATTGGTAAATGGTTTGTCTCATCTATTTAGCTTCCAAATGAAGCTTGCTCTCTTCACAAATATTAGACTTCACTGAATCACCAGGTGAACATAAAAGAAAGAAAGCCTAAAAAGAAAACTAATGCAGCCACCACATCTAAGAATTGGTAAGCTGCAATATAATAAATTCTTGCTGTTGGCTTTCCTATCACTGTATTTTACTTCAATGGAGTTGATTTACTAAAGGCAAATAGACTGTGCGCTTTACAAGTGCAGTTTCACTCTGCAAGGGCATTTGTTCCAGAGCTTAGTAAATGAAGGGGAGCTCTGTTGACGTCCATCGTCCAATCATGTGCAACCAAAAATGCTTTTTTTCCCCCTCGCATGCGATAGGGTGTTATTTGCAAAGTGAATCTTCATCTCATTTACTAAGCTCTGGTGCAAATGCCTTTCCACAGTGAAACTCCAATGTTTCAAGGTTTTCCACAAATAAACAAACAAACAAATAAATAAAAGCCCATCATTGTAAGCACCCCCGTCAGTGGTAAATAGATTGACTCAAACATCTAACTGCAACATCTGCGGGACAGCTTGTTCTTTTGAAAAACAACAGATTTACTGGCAAGATCACCGGCAAAGAAAGAAAGAAAGCAGCTCTGGTGCAACTGCACTTCCAAAGTGCACAGACTAATTGCCTTTAGTAAATCAACCCCAATGTTTCAAGGTTTTACATAAATAAAATCCCATCATTGTAAGCACCCCTGTCGGTGGTGGTAAATGGTTTGACTAAGAGAAAAGAAAGAAAGAAAAAAAGAAAAGAAAAGAGAGGGAAAGAAAAGAAAGAGAGGGAAAGAAAAGAAAGAAAGCAGCTCTGGTGCAACTGCACTTCCAAAGTGCACAGACTAATTGCCTTTAGTAAATCAACCCCAATGTTTCAAGGTTTTACATAAATAAAATCCCATCATTGTAAGCACCCCTGTCGGTGGTAAATGGTTTGACTAAAAGAAAAGAAAGAAGGAAAGGGAAAAAGAAAAGAGAAAGAGAAAGAAAAGAAAAGAAAGAGAAAGAAAGGAAAAGGAGAGAAAGAAAGAATGAGAGAAGAGAGAGAGAGATCCCCCATCTCTCCCCCCGAGAGAGAGAGAAAGAGAGAAAAAAAGGGAAAAAAAAAGAAAAGAAAGAGAGGGAAAGAAAGAAAGAAAAAGAAAGAAAGCAGCTGTGGTGGAAATGCTGTTCCATAGTGCAACATAGTGCACAGATTATTTGCCTTTAGTAAATCAACCCCAATTTTTCAAAGTTTTACATAAATAAATAAAAGCCCATCATTGTAAGCACCCCCGTCAGTGGTAAATAGATTGACTCAAACATCTAACTGCAACATCTGCGGGACAGCTTGTTCTTTTGAAAAACAACAGATTTACTGGCAAGATCACCGGGAAAGAAAGAAAGAAAGAAGAGAAAGAAAGCAGCTCTGGTGCAACTGCACTTCCAAAGTGCACAGACTAATTGCCTTTAGTAAATCAACCCCAATGTTTCAAGGTTTTACATAAATAAAATCCCATCATTGTAAGCACCCCTGTCGGTGGTAAATGGTTTGACTAAAAGAAAAGAAAGAAAGAAGCAAAGAGAAAAAGAAAGAGAAAATAAAGAAAAAGGAAGAGAAAGAAAAGAAGGGAAAAGGAGAGAAAGAAAGAGAGAGAGAGAGAGAGAGAGAGAGAGAGAGAGAGAGAGAGAGAGATCGATCCCCCATCTCTCCCCCCGAGAGAGAGAGAGAAAAGAGAGGGAAAGAAAAAGAAAGAAAGAGAGAAAGAAAGAAAAAGAAAGCAACTGTGGTGGAAATGCTGTTCCATAGTGCAACATAGTGCACAGATTATTTGCCTTTAGTAAATCAACCCCAATTTTTCAAAGTTTTACATAAATAAATAAAAGCCCATCATTGTAAGTACCACTGTCAGTGGTAAATGGTTTGACAAAAAAAGAAAGAAAGGAAAGAGAGAAACAAAGAGAAAATAATGAAAGAAAGAAAGAAAGAAAAGGAAGGAAGGAAGGAAGGAAGGAAGGAAGGAAGGAAGGAAGGAAGGAAGGAAGGAAGGAAGGAAGGAAGGAAGGAAGGAAGGAAGGAAGGAAGGAAGAAGAAGAAAAGAAAAGAAAGAAAAGAAAGAAAGAAAAAGAGCAAATGCAGCCACACATATAATAATTTATAAGCTGAGATATATTACATTTTTGTTTTTGGGTTGAATACTGCTAAACGCTGGCTACACATTATACATTTTTTTGTACAATTTCCTTTAGATTTACCAAATCCATATAATATGAGGTCAAACCTCACCACTTTCAAATGATATGCAGACAGGCCGCTGCACTACATGGTTGAAGGTGAATGTAAAAGAGATGGAACATGAACACTGTGTAATGTACAGCCAGCTTTACACACTCTATCCTAGAGAAAACCAGGGCTTTAGACCCTCATTTAAGCACGGATGTGGGCTGCAGGATTCCTAGCGGTTCTTGTGTCGGTCAGGGGCCCCCGGTGCCAAGACTGGATCTGCAGCTCTCAGCTCCTTCTCCTGGGCTGGGGAACGTGGGCGGGTCCGCAGTGTGTGCTGTCCTTGGTGCTGATTTATAAAGTGCAGGCGGCGGCGGTGCGCATGCTCGCCCCTGTCCCGTGCGCTATAAGTAGGTGTGCAGGAGGGTTCCGCCGGCCAGCCCGCACCATGAGCTCGTACAGCTACGACCCGTACTACAGCAGCTCCTACAAGCGCCGAGTGGTGGAGAGCAGCCCTCGGCTGCACGTGCGGAGCAGCTATGTGTCCCCCAGCAGGAGCAGCTACTCCCCCGGCATCGGCAGCAGCATGCGCCGGAGCTACACCTCCTCCTCGTCCGCCGCCTCCACCCTGCTGCCCAGCGTCGACTCCCTGGACCTGACCCAGGTGGCCGCCATCAGCAGTGACCTGAAGATAGTCCGCACCCAGGAGAAGGCTCAGCTCCAGGACCTCAATGACCGCTTCGCCAGCTTCATCGAGCGGGTCCACGAGCTGGAGAAGCGCAACAAGGTGCTGGAGGCGGAACTGCTCCTACTCCGCCAGAAGCACAGCGAGCCGTCCCGGCTGAGGGACCTGTACGAGCACGAGGTGCGGGAGCTCCGCCTGGCCCACGAGGAAGCCGCGGGGGACAAGCAGACACTGCGCGCGGAGCGGGAGCGCCTGGAGGACGCCCTGAGAGGGCTGCAGGTGCGCTACGAGGAGGAGGCGCTGAGCCGGGAGGACGCGGAGGCCAGGCTGCTGGATGTGCGGAAGGAGGCTGACATGGCGGCGCTGGCCCGGGCCGAGCTAGAGAAGAGGATGGACAGCCTTCTGGACGAGATCGCCTTCCTGAAGAAGGTGCACGAAGAGGAGCTGGCCCAGCTGCAGTCCCAGGTGCAGTACGCCCAGATCTCCCTGGAAGTGGACGTAGCCAAGCCGGACCTCAGCTCTGCCCTGCGAGACATCCGGGCGCAGTACGAAAAGCTGGCGGCCAAGAACATGCAGTCCGCGGAGGAGTGGTTCAAGTCCAGGTTCACCGTCCTGACGCAGAGCGCCGCGCGGAACACAGACGCAGTGCGGGCTGCCAAGGACGAAATGTCAGAGAGCCGGAGGATGCTCAAAGCCAAAGGGCTGGAGATCGACGCCTGCCGGGGGGTCAATGACGCTCTGCAGAGGCAGATCCAGGAGCTGGAGGACAAGCAGAGCTCGGAGGTGGCACAGATGCAGGTACTTGGGTGTGACGGGGCAATAGGGTGCCAGTGCAATGCCAGATTCAGCTTCAGCACCCTGGACAGATCGCATCAGCCTCTGATCTGTTCAATGGTGACTACAGGTAACAGAAAGAACCTTCACATTGGTGTCTGTTTAACCCGAAATTCACATAACGTGCACTCATTTATAAATGGAATCTTATAATAAAAATAGATCTATTTAACTTCCTGAGTAGGGGCAATCTGTGTCAAAAGAAAAGAAAAAGAAATATATGTATGTATAGCATATCTATCTATCTATATATCATATATCTGCAGAGTTTGTCTGAAACTGAAAATCACAACTTCATTCACTTCATTCATCGCTGTTCGCCTATAAAGCTTTGCACCAGTTAGGGGATGTCCCAATGCAGTTAGATATATCATCTGTACTTTCACTTTAATGATATTGAAATCCACATTAGTCCAGTGTCCATATTATCTTTTGCAGCCATGCGCTTTATATAAATTGTGCAATTTCTTTCAAAACCAGAAATTTTATAAAATATAGATGAGTGATGGCAAAATAAAATCCATGGAGTCTGAGATAGATATATATATATATATATATATCAGACTCCATGGATCTTTTTTTGCCATCACTCGTCTATATTTTATAAAATTTCTGCTTTTGATAGAAATTGCACTATATATATATATATATATATATATATATATATCTCAATCAATAAATTTTGCTGTAGAAAAAAATTTCACACAAGTTATGTTTCAATGAATTTCTGTATATATATATATATATATATATATATATATATATTATTTAATATTATTTATTTGTTTTCATTGACAAAATATATTTATTGCAGCTAAATGTCCGGTGTGAACCAGTTTGACAATAAATAATATACAATCTTGATTGTGGAAATGTCACTCCGCCAGTTCAAGGTAGCCTAGGACTTGTAGTTCTGCATCTGCTGGAATCTTAGTTTGTAAATCTGCCAAAACCCCTAATGATTGTCAGACAGAGAATTCCTTTCATTCACATAATTTACAGTTTTGTAGAGGATTCTGTCGCTCCATACATTAGATGTCTACATTTAGACTTGTTCAGTAAAACCCTGCAAAGAGCAGTAATAGAGAACATAGTACAGTAAGGTATAGCAGATGTTACCTTTCATCAGTATTGCTTCTAGTTCTTTTAATAAACTATTTTGTGCCTGCTTTAGAACCAACATTATATTATCATGGATTTGGTGCAGTGAAAATATTCACTCTATAAAGCAATGATCGTCCTTTATTTGTTAGTTCACAGCATATTTTCTTAGTATTTTATGAATTTAAGTTCTCTTTAATTAAAAAAAAGGGGGCACACCAGTAAAGTAACCAGTATATCTTTAATAAAAAAAAGAAACGGATAACTAGAAAACTTATTTCTGGTGGTCAATGATAAAAAGAAATATGGTACACAGTTATAAGATCATAATACTAACAGTGCTATCATTAAAAAAAATTTTTTTGCCAAATGATAATAATGTGTGTATGATTAAATCACAACCTTTAATGTTGCCACACCCAGGTTCACTGTGCCATGTGTCCTTCTGTATTATATGGTTGTATATTTTTTTTAATTTTAATTATCTTTTATTCATTTGTTGACCACAGGATGCCATAAACAAATTAGAAGATGAACTTAGGAATACAAAGAGTGAAATGGCAAGGTATCTGAAAGAGTATCAGGATCTGCTTAATGTCAAGATGGCGTTGGATATAGAAATTGCTGCATACAGGTAGGATGCTGCACTGCCTGCCTGCAAATATGGCACTATACAGTGCCCCCTTCATATATTTTATATACAGCAGATAATTTGCTGTCAGAATTTCATTACTAGTCTTTATAACACAGTGCAGCACTGCCAGCCTCAATTTCTGAAGGTAATGGTCATCCCACAGATACAGTATCTGTAATGAAGTGAATATTTTTTTTTGTAGAATGTGTATTTTAGCTTTTTTTATTAGCCATAATGGCTTAATAAAATACTACAAATATGCTAAAACTTTGAAGAATATTTAAGAGATATTAAACCCAACAGCAAACATTTATTGTATTGCAACTTACCAATTTTTAAATGTGATGGTTGCATTGGTTTTCTTTTTAGGCTTTTTTCTTTTATTTTCACCTGGTGATATGGCCAATAAGTCTGTTGTCTTTAAATAGAACAAGCTGTTCTGCAGATGTATCAGTAACAGGGTTGAGACAAACCATTTACCACTGACAGTGGTGCTTGCAAGGATCAGCTTTTTCAAAATTATTTATGTAAAACCTTTATCCCAAAAGGAAAAAAAAAACCTGTTGCTGTAAGAGCTTCTAATAACATTTTAGTTGGAGTTTGTTATCAATTTGTTAGTGTATCTAGATTTGCAAATACAGCTAACACTCCCCTCCCACCAGATTAACAAGGGTGCTGTCCAAAGGTGCCCCCTGTGCAGGGGCGGACTGACCATTTGGAAACTCGGGCGCTGCCCGAGGGACCGGGGTCAGTAGGGGGCCCCACGAAATGCCCCTGGTACCTTTTTCATAGGCTTTTTTGAGTTTGGGCAAGGACACAGGGGCCCCATGATCCCCTATTGCCTGGGGGCCCTATGACTTGTCAGTCCGCCCCTACCCCTGTGCTCATTTATCCAGAGTGGGGGCACTCTAATCCTGTAGGTGTGTTATTGTCCAGATCACCAGGTGAAATCAGAAAGAAAAAGACTATAAAAGAAAACTAATGCAGCCACCACATCTAATGATGGATAAGCTGCAATATATTACATGTTTGGTTTTGGGTTTAATAATGCTTTAAAGGTATATTACAAATATTCTTATTCTGGTTATTACTGTCCAACAGAAAGTAAAAATGTTGCCTATACCTTCAAAGAACCTACAGTTATATGAATAGAAAAGGGATCTAAAAAGAGAAAAATGTTTTACTTTTCTGCTTTGCCTAGGATAATAAATAAAGTAAGAATACGATTTTTAAGCAAAACTGCCTTGTTTGTCTCAGACTTTTGGCTTGCACAATGACCTTGAGAAATTAAGTTGTGAAGATTTTACAAAGTAATTAACCGCTTGCCTACTGGGTACTTTTGTCCCTTTCCTGCCCAGGCCAATTTTTAGCTTTCAGCGCTGTTGCACTTTGAATGACAATTGTGTGGTCATGCAACACTATCCCAAACTTAATTTTTATCATTTTTTTTTAAACAAATAGAGCTTTCTTTTAGTGGTATTTAATCACCACTGGTGTTTTTATTTTATGCTAAACAAACAAAAAAAGACCAAAAAAGTTGAAGACAAAAAGTTTTTCTAAATTTCAGTTAAACAGTTTTGTAAATAAGTGATTATTCTTCTTCACTGATGTGCACTGATGAAGCTACACTGATGGGCACTGATAGGCTGCACTGATGGGCACAGATGAAGAGGCACTGATGAGGCTACACTGATAGGCGGCATTGATGGGCATTGATAGGCAGCATTGATGGGCACTGATAGGCGGTACTGATGGACATTGGTAGGTAGCACTGATGGACACTGATGGAAGGCACTGATAGGCGGCAATGATAGGTGGCACTGATGGGCATTGATAGGTGGCACTGATGGGCACTGATAGACGGCACTGATGGGCACTGATAGACGGCACTGATGGGCACTGACAGGCATCACTGATGGGCATTGATAGATGGCACTGATGGGCACTGATAGGCGGCACTGATAGGCGGTCCTGATGGGCACTGGTAGGCGGCACTGATGGGCACTGACAGGCATCACTGATGGGCACTGACAAGCACCACTGAGGATATGCTGATAGCCAGCACTAAATGCAGCACAAATGGGCACTGATAGCCAGCACGGATGGGCACTAATGGGCATTACTAGTCACACTGATGGGGCTACACTGATCATCAGGGCACTGATGATCAGTGTAGATCTCCCCCTGAGAAATGCCGCTTACTGGTTCTCCTCTCTTCATGCACTGTCAGTGTGAGGAGAGGACTGCCGATAACCTTCATTTCCTGTTTACATGTGATCAGCTGTGATTGGACACAGCTGGTCACGTGTAAAAGGCAGCTCTGACTGGCCCCCTACTTGGACATGTGATCAGCTGTGTCTGAAGGACACAGCGATCACAGATCATGCAGGGAGTGTGGATCAGATTGCGCACAGGGGTGTGGTTCTGTGAGGACATCAATGGACGCCCTCCCAGAACTAGCCAAACATGCTGTAGCCGTCTTTAGACTATAGCGCGGTCGGAAAGTGGTTAACGAAGATATAGGGGTTTATTTACTAAAGTTTCCTTGCAAATGTATGGGTATTCTTTGCAAAGTGCTTTTTTTCACCGCATTCAATAAGCTAAGTGAAAATCCCTTGCAAAGTGAATTGTCTGTTTGCCTTTAGTAAACCAACTTCATAGTCTTCAACAAAATGGTGACCGCCTACACACAGACACCGACTCCCTGTTGCAGACATGAGCAGGCTATGGCTCTTCAGAAATGGAACTGTTTTGCTGAGGCATGTTAATAATGGTTGGGTGATTCTGGGTACCTCCCAACTATTATTTAGCACAGTGTTATCTTTCCACAGCTTCACAATGAGTATCATGCTGTTGACTCTTCCTTTTACTGTGGTTTATCTACGTCTGTTACAGGAAGTTACTGGAAGGGGAAGAGACCAGGCTGAGTTTTTCTGGTGTTGGGGCCATCACCAGTGGATACACACAAGCTGCCCCTGTATTTGGACGCTCTTCATACAGCCTGCAGAGCAGCTCCTACATGTCTTCTCGCTCATTTCCTACCTACTACTCCAGAGATGTCCAAGAAGAGCAGCTTGATGTAGAAGAGACCATTGAGTCCACCAGGGCAGAAGAAGCAAAGGCTGAAGCCCCAGAGGATGAAGAAGAGGCTGCAGAAGAAGAAGAGGGAGAAGGTGAAGGAGAAGAAGAAGGAGAGGGAGAGGGAGAAGGTGAAGGAGAAGGTGAAGAAGAAGGAGGAGAGGAGGGAGAGGGAGAAGGTAAACATACTCAACAAAATAGCTGTTGATGGTTAATACATTTTAGATAACAGAACAAATCAGGATGCTCATAAGGTGCAACACAGAATCAATGATTCCACCCATTGCTTTAGATCCACTGTTTCTTCCCATTGCTCTACTTGATAAATGCCAAGAGCACTGGAGCATGGGAGAAATCCTCCCACATTTTCAGCATATACAATTATGACAGGACTACAAATAGTTGTCAGCCTTCTGTGTTAAGCTGATGTGAATCTGATGATATTCAACATTCCATTGACAGTATTTATAATGCAAACCTCCAGCATTTTTTGTGCATCCATCCTGCCCAACCCTCTTTGAAATCTGAAGAAAAAAATGAACAGTATACACACTTTATAACCTATAATATTTGGTCTGGTCACATCACGGATCCTCTTATTTCTTGTGGGTGGGTCCTGAACAGGGGCGGACTGACCATTTGGAAACTCGGGCACTGCCCGAGGGCCCGGGGTCAGTAGGGGGCCCCATGAGTTACCCCTGGTACCTTTTTCATAGGCTTTTTTGAGCTTGGACAAGGACATAGGGGCCCCATGACCCTCTATTGCCCGGGGGCCCCATGAGTTGTCAGTCCGCCCCTGGTCCTGAATGCTGCAGAGAGTGGCACCAAGCTCTCTGATACGTTCTTCTGTAAGTCTAGGATGGCTTGATGCCACCTCACCAAGGAGCTGGTCCTTGACACCCTGGACTCACAGAAAGTGGATTGAATGATGCTGGTTGTCATTCAGCCCAGAAATTGAATGTAGTTGTGATCCTGAGTGGGACAGCAATGGAGATGATGTGAGTACCTGGAAATCATAATTTTAAAAGTCATCATAAGCCGGAGATGTTACGTTCTATGGGGAGTTAATTATCCACACTGCTAATAAAAATATTAAATGGCGGTTCTACTGCACAGTATCTGCATTTGTAAACTATTTTTATTGCATAGATTAACCAGCAAATTAAGTCCTAGAAATCGCCAACCTGTGGCTTTTGGCTCCATAGGATCAAAGGGATCCTTGGTGGTCTATTTATGTGTTATAATTTTTGTAATTTTTACTTTCTCAGGAGGAGAAGAGGATGAGGGCAAGGAGGAGGAGGGAGATGAAGAGGAAGGTGAAGAAGAAGAGGGTAAGGAAGATGAAGCTGAAGAAGAGGGCGAGGAAGAAAAAGAGAGGAGAAGATGAAGCCGCAGAAGAAGAAAGTAAAGATAAAAAATAGGTTCCTTGCAGTTTATGCCAAACACATGAATTATTTCCCAGCTAATAAAACCTTCTTACCACTCATACACTCTATCCCCCCCCCCAGTTGCCTACAAATCACTTCTAATTCTACAGTTCACCTCTAATCACCTTTCTGTTTGATGTTGCCTTTCGTGTCTAGAGTTTGGACCCTCAAAGCTTTAATTAGGGTCCTTACCCCACCCTGGCCTGTCTTCCCAGGTTGTGCATGGTTAATCCAGGTGAGTCCAAAACCTGGAGCTTCCAGTCTATTCACAATCAGTGCAGAAAACTCCATGACATCCATACGTCTTCCTCTTTTCAAACCCACCTTCATCGTATGACTATCAGTAGATTTTATAGCAATACCAGTTTCACCAGGCTTCTCTTTAAATCAAGAGGAAAAAGGCAAATAGCCATGAGCCATTAATTTAAATGGCAAGACCCCCAAAACTGATATTTATGAGTATAAGGGGTGTAAATGGCCTCTGCGGCTGCAACATGATGACATCAATTTAATTCCAAGCCATGTGGTGACATGCCCCTGCTGAATCCTCTATAGAAATACATGAAACAAACAGTAGAGGGTGTGTGACCGCATTGAGAAGAATAAACCTATGTAAGCTGCACTACATTAGCAGTAACATAGATTGGAGCTAGGGTTTTTAGGGGAAATCACCTTCCCTGCTCCCTGAGAGGCTTAGGACATCAATGAATGTCTAAACCTCGTGTCTTCCACCCAAAAATGACATGATATTAGTTTTTGGTGGTGGTCCATATTATCACCTGTGGTCTGATTTTAAGGGAAGACTGAAATTTTGCTTCCCAAGAACCATAGCATCGGAGGTGCTTTATCCTCCTCATTGTTTGCAAGGCAGTGTTGCACTTTTGCCCCACCCCCAGCACTGCTGATTGCAAGGCAATGGTTAGCTACAGCTAATGAATATGTTGGTGGCTTTTGTGGATCTGTGTGTACTTTACTCGCAATAAAGAGACAAGCAGCATCCAGTCAGCAAACTGAAAATGTGTGCTACCAATGTGTATTTATTTCTTGTCACATACTTGGTGGAAGAGGTTGGATGAGTCATTATTGCAGTAAGGCATAGCGGGTAAAGTTCATGATGGCTATGCATTTATCGCAATTCATTCTATACTACCAGCATCAACATTAATGTGGAACTAATGTGAAATTGCATACTTTAAAGCTAAGCTCCAGGCACACAAAGAAGCACCAGTCAATACGGATTTGTATCAGTTGTAAATACTTTAAATTATTTTTTAAGTCAAACTAATTTAAAGTGGTACTAAGATGGCTACCTCCACATAGAGACACAAGAACAAGGCATGGTAAGTCAATAATGGGAAAAGATCAGGTTACGAGAGACCACATACATTAGTGGTGAGTAGTCCTTTGCCCTCTGCTTGCCTTTTTTTGGGCACAGCTTTAGTTCTTCTAAATATCTTAAAGCGTTTGTAAAAGTATTTTTTTTGGCTCCACACAGAGCAGTCTCAAAATTCCTCTTTATGGGTCACACGCCAACATTCTTGGCTCCTTCTCTTCGATGTCTGCCCCTGTAGCAAGTATGGGAGCAGATGTATGGGCCTGATCCCAAGCCAGCCTGTGTGCGCCCATTGACCCCTGCTCTTTACTTACCAAATTTGACTGACAACAGCAGGAGCCAATGCATTCACTTCTGTAAGCCATGACTGTTAGAGTAGGGAGAGAGGAGAGAAGAACTGAAGACAAGATTGATACAGCACTCAGATAAGTACGTTTTTAACCTTCATGCAGGAAATGCACTGCATTAGCCCCCTGTGATACTGTATCTGATCCTTGCAACAAGTCATGTGGGCATCAAATATTATTTAAAACCAGTAAAGTCTATAAAGTCTATAAAACTATGCAAAGACATTAAGGGGGAGATTTAGTAAAACTGGGGAGTGCACAATCTGGTGCAAATCTGTATAGAAACCAATCAGCTTCCAGATTTTATTGCCAAAGCTTAATTGAACACGCTGAAACTAGAAGCTGATTGGCTATATGCACAGCTGCAAAAGATTCTAAGTGCACCAGTTTTAGTAAATCTCCCCCTTGGACCATGCACACTGGCTTAAAAAAATGCCTTTGGCAGAAAAAATGGTCATTTTGAGCGGTTTTGTACTAGCCTTTAGCTGCATCTAGCCTTTTTTTCCTGCCTGAAAAAATGCCCTCAAAAACGTAAAACAGAAGGGTTTATACTCTACAGATCAGAAATCTGGGTGAGAGTCGGGTGTATTTACCACAAGGCAAACAAGGCACTTACCTAGGGTGGCATTTTTTAGGGAGGCAGCACCTCCCCTCAGAAGAAAGAATGAAAGAGGGGACACACATGCCATAGAAACCAGGTGGGATCCGAGAGAAGCTGTGGGCTGCTTGATGGTGGCATTCCCGGGGATGTCCAGAGCTGTGACGATGAGTGTCTCTCTATCGCCGGGGGGGGGGGGGGATAATAGTGGAAGGCTCTCTCCATGGGAGGGGGAAGGGGGGGATGGTGTTGGTCGGTGTCCGTGGGGGCAGACAATGTTTGTGTTGCCTAGGGCAGCACAAAACGTAAAATACACCACTGATGAGAGTTGTGGTATGCACCCCCTTAATCAGCAGTAATGATACATAGCTGTGTAAAGACTACTTCTAGAATACTTTTAAGCTGTTTGGAGAAAAATTTGCATCCTTCAAAGATATTGATGCTGTCTTTTTTTTAGAAACCATGGGCAGTAAAATACTCCTGAGTATTAAAGCTCAAGTGGACCATACAGGAAGCCTGTCATATTACTGCTTGTTTATATTTATGATCTCCATGCCATTTGTAATGGATCTTATGGTTGGGTAGCAGACTGTGGAGAGTGGAGTCGCACGAAAGAGACAAGCAAGACCAGTCTTAGACATTGGATGGTCATGCCTCATACTTTGGATATGGGAATTATCGTATGCTGCAATAGCTGGATTGGTCCTGTTTCAGCTTAACCCTTTACTGAACTCCAAGGGAGCTCTTAGAACAATAGAAACAATGATTAAAACTTACAGTTTTGGTCATAAGAACGTGTCCAGTGACAAGTGAGGATTCAAAATTGGTGATCCGTGTGGAAACGGCTGAAAAACGCACTCACCAGAAGCAAGACACATAAACGCAGTGTGCATCTAGAGCTCATGGATCCTCAATCCAGGAGGAGCCTGGACGTCGAGACGCTACACCGCCGTCGCCACGTGGAGGCCCGGCGGCCATTATTCAGAGTGTCAGGGTTAGTTTGTCTTGCTGACACATCGTTATGATACCTGCCTACTTTGAATTGGATACTATATTTTTTAATAAAGCTGCTTTTTATAACCTACTACACTATGGGTGTCCTTCCCTAAACTCCCCTGAGGAGCTTTTGCTTGCAGAATCCTGATCTTGGAATCCTACACCTAATTGGGAAGAGGAGGATCTGTTGCTGCATCCACAGAGAGGGATCCACCATTCCTGTAACTGGACCAGCTTTATTCCCTTCTGGATTGAGGATCCATGAGCTCTAGATGCACACTGCGTTTATGTGTCTTGCTTCTGGTGAGTGCGTTTTTCAGCCGTTTCCACCCGGATCACCAATTTTGAATCCTCACTTGTCACTGGACACGTTCTTATGACCAAGACTTTAAGTGGACTCATACCTGTCTTATTATCACTACCTTTAGCGCTGCACTATTTTTATGTTATTCTATTTTAAGTACATATTGGTTGCTTAGAGTGCTTAGCCGCTTTCAGGACTAGCGCTCACTGTTGTTCTCCCTATTTGAATGATTAAAACTTGGAAGTCTAAGTATTGGGAAAACACAACACTGAAAGAACTTTGATATGGTTCTTGATCATGTCTGTTCTGGCACTCTGCAATGAGAGTACATTATCCTGGTTATCAGGGGACTTAATTTATTCTTACAGGAGCTAAGGTAAATCACTCAGAGTTTTGCCAGTACTTGCCAATTGGTGCAGGAAGGGAATACACGAGACTTTAATTTTGTCCCTTCTCACTTATTTTTCCTTTACATTAAAGCATGCCTTTGAAGTATGCATGACTCAGAATCACATTTCTGGGAGCAAAGACCCAACATAGGCTGGTGGACACTAGATTACTTTTCAGCATTCCTTACTATTCCAACAAATAAACTTGCAAAACTAAACAGCAGTAGTAGCAATAACAAGTGAGTTTGGCATACAGACTTTGATAAGATCACTAAGGCATTTGTCAAAGGAAGAACAAAGGCTTTTTGCAAAATTCCTAGCATGGGGAAAGCTGAGAAGTCTTTGGAGCAGTGGTCTCCAAACTGCGGCCCGAGGACCGAATGCAGCCCTTTGCTTGCTTTTATCTGGCCCTTGGAGCACTACTTCACTCACTGACACCAATGAAGGGGCACAATTCCTTCCAATGACACCAAATATTGGACACAATTCCTCCCAATGACACCAACTATTGGACACAATTCCTCCCAATGACACCAGTGATGGGGCACAATTCCTCACATTGACACCAGTAATAGGGCTCAATTCCTCCCAATGACACCAACAATGGTGCCCAGTGACACCAATGTTGGAGCACAATTCCTACCAATGTTGGGACACAATTCCTACCAATAATGGGGAACAATTCCTACCAATGACACCAACGATGGGGCATTGTTTACTTCAAATGATGCCGGGATATTTTCTACTCCCAATGACCATAGTCTGGCCCCCCAGACAGTAAACTGGTCCTTTGTTTAGAAAGTTTGCAGACTCCTGCTTTAGAGGGAAGTACGTATAGCAAATTCAAATGCAAGCATATATTTCTGGTTGTTGCAGTTGAGATATCTTCTGAATACAAAAAGTGAGGGTCTTTCAAGTCTTAGATGGAGGCCTGTATGGAGACACACATGACCACCATATAGTGGCAGGCGGTGGTCATACATTTCTTTGATATTGAAAAAATATCTGTGATAGCCAGTTGAGAGGC